CCTATTTTCTCTATGAAGCATGCATAATTTTAGAAAATTTTTGATCCTATCGTATTCTATGCATTTCCATCTTGAAGTTTGATGTTTACATCTTGGGTTTTCATGGAGAAACGCGTGAGTTATTATAATATGAAAATCACTTTTTAAAACTGAAAAACGATAAGGGTTTGATATTTTGGTAGGGATGACTACGTGACTTTTTTTTCTATTGAACATGTTCTAAAAACCTTCCACAACGTTTTATGCTAAAAGCAAGTGTAATACACCATAATTATATTTTAATTTTCTTTGTTTCTCTAATTTTTGTTTAATTACTTTTCTTAATTCAAAATTTACCACAAAAATATTTTAAACTCTATTTTTAATATATTTTAATTTTCTGATTTTTATTTCTTAGTTTTATCATTTTTTTCATGATTAAATAAATTCAAGTAGTTTAATTAGGGTTTTAATCATTCTATTTGTTTTAGAATTTTATTTTCCTATTTCTACTAAATAAAAAAATCCTAAAAAATGTTTTTAAGTATCCTTATGAGTCTTCTTATTGGAAATAATTTTTGTCCAATTTTACAAAATTAGTGAGATTCAAATTAAATCATTTGTTTAGTTATATCGCTTTTTCTTTGTTTTTTTTGATATATTGTGTAAATAATTTTTATTTAATTCTTTATTTTGAGATAAAATTCAAGAAAAATACATTTACTGATCCATAGAGTTTTCTTGAAATTTATGGAGCTTTAAATCAAATTTATTTGAATTTTAGATTAAATTGATTAATTTTGAACTTAATTTCTCCTTTTTTAGGGTTTTAGTTGATCATTCACATTGATTACTTGAAAATTATAACTTCCCATGCCTATAAAATCAGAAATGAATTTGTTTAGAGTACTGCACAAGTTGAGGTCATAAAGATCACTTTTATTTAATTTTAAAATATGATTTCATATTTTTTACAAATTGTTTCCCAAAACACCTCTAGTTTTAGCATTTTGCTAGCTAGTTTCAAAGTTTGCATTTATAAATCAAGTTTCCACCTAATCCAAGAACTCTAAATTCCATTTCTGACTTTTATAAATCTTTATGAAATTAGGATTTAATTTTCATAATTTTACAAGGTACTTTCCTATTTTTAATCTAATTTTTTACTTAGGATTGTATTTAGGGTTTTACTTTTGGTCAAGGTTTGTAATTGAGAACTCTTGCACATAATTTTTGTTTAATTCTTAGCATGGCATATATTACTGGCTTAAGGTTTATTTTGGGACAAATTCTTCAGCATCATTGGATCTTGGATGTTGATAGGTAGAAAAACCAAATCCACCGAGATGGATGAATGATGTTGACAATATTTGAAACTAAATTTCATCTAACACATCCCCTCCCTTTTCATCTTATTCATTTATCACTTGTACTATATGTTGATGGAGAATGTTCTATATATCATTTCTCTAAACATGTGGTACATAGATTGTTATTGACCGACCTCAAAATAGGTGTGACTTCTATATAAGTCCACTTACGATTGCTTAACATAACGCTAAATTTTGTCCCGATTCGAGAAATGATTATTCGTGGCCCAAACACATGTTTGCAAGTCCAAGTATGTTAATTTGAAACCTTTGATTCAATAACCTTGAGATTCATTTTTAGGAGGTTTTGGTCTTATCAATCCTCTAATGAATCTTCATAAGTTTTGGTCAAAGTGAATCACTTAAACATCATTGATCATTTATTGTTGCCTTAAGATTTTCTAATGAATGATATACTTGACAAAAAGCAAATGAAACTTGTTGTTGAGAGGCTTTAATTTTATCAATCTTCTAATAAGTTTTCAAATGCAAATTTCAAGATAATCATTCAACTAACCTTTAACCTCTAACTCATTAACATTTGACTTTGGTCTTTGTGTTTTCACTTTACGCCTTTACTTTTATGCATAATTTATTTTAGAATCTACATTTCATCTTTGCTCAATTGAGCTTTTCATTTTCTTGATTGAATATACCTAATAATCAACTTAAACCATAAAAGCTTTGAGGTTACTTGGACTATTTGGTTACTATCCTTGGCATTTTGGAGTTATGGACTTCTTGGACTTAGGATTAGAAGCCTTGACCTACATTGTGACCTCAACTGTAATCTTGTCTGGAGTTCTTGGGGTTTACCCCGAGGCATTGGATTGTTTGTTTTCTTTGTGTGCAAATTATTCTGATTATATGCTCTGTCTGTGATTGAGAATTCATTTGTATACAACCATTACTCTGCCCAATTTTTGTGAAGACTTAATGCATTTGAAGCTTGATTTTCTTAAGAGGTTTATTATCTTTGCTTGATTGGTTTCAACCAAAAGGATGAGAATTCTACATTGACTCATTGTGTCAAGTGTTGGCTTCTTGTTGGTTAGACGATTCTTTTCCCTAGCTTTTACCTTATGCTTTAGGATAGTCCCTTCATCTCCTCCCATCATCTTTAATTTCAAAAATCTCCATTCTTTTCAAAACTATTCTTGCTTTCTAAACTTGAACCGCTTTCGCAATAAACTTGGACTTAGGTCCATGCATTTTAAAAAAAAGATTCTTAATCAAACTTTAACCAACTTAATAATACTTTGACATTTTTGTGAGAAGACTAAAATTCAATCAAACTCATTCAAACCATTTTGCTATTTTGACTTTTTTTACTTAAAATTTTCTCAAAAGATTAGACTCTTGTCAATCCTTATAGTGATGCGAGCTACTATACTTCTACAATATATAGCGAAGTGAGATATTTTCTACTTGGATATTGAGTGAGACTTTATTGATTTTAAAATCCAAGCTATATCTTTCACTTTGAGATGATGCAAATTCTCCTTTCTCATAATCGTGGGTAGTAATTATATTCTTTCACTCAAATACGACGATGATGTCTCGTCTTAACCAACACACTTGTGTTTTAATTTTTTAAAGGTGAACTACGAGTACTCTGACCCCCTATTGCACGGAAGGTGGTACGTAGGCATTAAAGCTTCACAACCGCGGAGGGTGCAAAAATTGTAAAAAATACTTCTTTTCTCATCCCCACAATCTATTTCTGTATACAACATTTTATAGCCAAAATACACAGCTTTACAAAGAGGTTCTTGCGGAGTACTGTAGATGTTTAGGGTACTAATACCTTCCCTTTTCATAACCAACCCCCGAACTTAGATTCTCTCCCCCACTTCTGGGTTATTCGCTTTTTTCCTATTCCTTTGGAAATAATAAATCGCGGTGGCGATTTTCATTTGATTTGTGCGAGTTAAGTCAATCCAATGACTTTGTCTCAACATTTCTATCGCTACACATATGTTCTTGTATTTTTATGAAAATATCTAAAAAATAATTTTCTATAATAGTTGTCTATGTAGATGACATAAAATTAGTGGAACTCTTGAAGAGATTCCAAAAGCTATAAATTGTTTAAATAAATGGTTTGAGATGCATGACTTGGAAAAGAAAAAGTCCTTAAAAGGTGAACATTTAGACATTGGAAAATTTCATACACCAAGAAGGTTATATAGAAAAGTATTAAAATATTTCTATATGGACAAATATCATATGTTATCTAGTATAAGTGCTAAAACGTTTGTATATGGATAAATCTCGTATGTCGTGTACCCCGATGATGTTAGATCGTTAGACGTGTAGAAGATTCTTTTAGACCTCAAGAAGAGGATGAAAATTATTTAGTCCCGAAGTATCATATCTCAGTGTAATTCAAGCACCGATCCATCTTTCTAATTATACAGACATCGACATATCAATTTCTATTACTCTATTAGTAAGATATAACTCTTCACCTACACGAAAACATTTGAACGGAGTCTAATATATACTTTGTTATCTTAAGGGTAAATAGACATGAGTTTGTTTTATACCAAAGTATCCAAATTCGAATTAACATGTTATGCAGATTCAAGTTACTTGTCAGATCCTCAAAATAGTAGATCACAAACAAGTTATTTGTTTACATGCGGTGGTACATCTATTTCATGGAGATCAGTGAAACAAACAATAACAATAACTTCATCTAATCATGTAGAACTTTTAGCACTACATGAGGCAAGTTGAGTATGCGTTTGGTTGAGATCCTTAATCCAACACATACAAAATAGTTGTGGTTTATCTTCTAGAAAACAAATATAACGACCATATATGAAGATAATAGTTCATGCACCACTCAATTGAAAGATGGTTACATTAAAGGAGACCAAGCAAAACACATCTCTTAAATGTTCTTTTTCACTCATTATATTCAGAAGAGTGGTGACATAAACATCCAACAAATTCGTTCATGTGATAATGTTGCAGACCTTTTCACAAAGCCATTCCTAAGTAAAACTTTTAATCAACTAGTACAAAAGATTGATCTTCAACGTCGAAAAAATGATCGTTCAACTGAGGGAGAGAAATGAATTTACTTGAAAATAATATTATACTCTTTTTCCTTCATTAGATTTTTTTCCAATAAATTTTTTCTTATTAGATTTTAACACATATCTAAAACAAACATCTCCCAATAATTAAATAATTATCTCACAAAAATATTATTCTTTACTTATAATAATTTATATTTATTACTATAAATATGAGCAATTTCATTCTAGAAAAACTCACCAATAAAATAATACAAAACTATTTTTATCTTTCTACTACCACAGTAGGAATTTATTTCTTACAATGTCCACAGCTTGTGGATGATATGATCTTGTGATATTCACAAGGCAGTAACTGAATGGTCAAAATTAATTTGACGTAGAAAGAAAAAGAAAAGAAAAAGCAAGTAGGTTCCACCCAGACACTTACACGTGTCATTCCACAACTCAAGAAGTATCTCAGTCACTAACGTACCTCTCAGTCTCACCCACCTCACACAAATTCTCTTCTCAGCTACCTCCATTCAACTTCTTCATCTTCTTAATTAATCTAACTTTACTACTTCATTCATCACTCTAATTACTAGTAACACTTTTTCACAAAATGGCTACCAACACCAATGATCAAGATTCTAAATCGACGAATCCTTCTGATTCGCCTCCGGTTTTTGCGCTCAATGAAAGGATACTTTCTTCCATGGCAGATAAAAAAGATGCTGCTGCTCATCCATGGCATGACTTAGAAATTGGTTCATCTTTTCTTCTTCTTCTCTTTTTTTTTTTTTTTATATATCTGAAATTTTATTTTAACTGTACAATTTAATTCATTTTTTATTTATTTATTTATAGTGCTTCATGAATCTCTGATTAGTTTTGAGTTTAACACGATCGATACATAACCTAATGCTTTTGATTTTCATAAATACAGGACCAGGAGCTCCATCAGTTTTCAATTGTGTAAGTTTTATTTATTTATTTATTGTTGCAGCCGAAAATTGAAAAATAATTTTGTCCGTAAACACTTCTGAAAAAAAATAATGTCAGTGTCGATCTCTAAAATCGACGCTTATGATTATATTTAATTTATTATTTTTTTAAAATTATTATTGGTGTCGATGTGTAGGATCATATTTCTGGTGTATGTGCTTCTCGTGATCGTGATTATTGAGAGAGGAGAAAAACCAAGAGTTAACTGAATAGATTTGTATTGTATTCAAAACTGTAACTTTTACAATATGCTAATTACATTAAATAGCAACCACTTACTCCTAACTGTGTAACTAACTCATGTAACTAACTCTAACAATAATTCTGATTTCTAACTAACTGCTAACAATTAGCTAACAGATTTGTTATTCTGTGATACCCCCCCACAAGCTGGAGCATGTATATTAATCATGCCAAGCTTGGATACAAAATCTGGAAACTTAGAAGAAGGGAGTGGCTTAGTGAATATATCAGCCAACTGATGATGAGTAGAAACAGGTAACAAATGCAATAACCCAGCTTGAAGCTTGTCGCGCACAACATGGCAGTCTAATTCGATATGCTTGGTGCGCTCATGATATGTATGATTCTGTGCAATATAGATGGCAGATTGATTGTCACAGAATAAAGGAATCGGAAGAGGTAGCTCAAGATGTAAAAACTGGAACAAATATTGGTACCATTGAAGCTCACAGGCTGTTGCTGCAAGAGCTCTGTATTCGGCTTCTGAAGAAGAACGCGATACAGTAGATTGCTTCTTAGTTTTCCAGGAGATCAAGGAAGAACCTAAGAAGATAGAGTAGCCAGTTACAGACCGCCTCGTGTCTGGGCAGCTAGCCCAGTCGGAATCACTATAAGCTTGCAACTTTAAAGAAGACCTGGCAGAATAGAACAATCCCTGTCCTGGAGCAGCCTTGATGTAACGAAGAACACGTGTAGCTGCAGTCATGTGAACCTCTGTCGGGGCTGCTAAAAATTGGCTTAATTGCTGAACTGCAAAGCCTATGTCAGGACGCGTAGTGGTGAGGTATAATAACCTGCCAACCAATCGTCTATAACTGCTAACATTAGGAAGAGGCTTGCCTTCTGTTAATGAGAGGTGAGCATTAGAATCCATAGGAGTTTTCACACTCTTACAAGCAAGAAGGCCAGCATCAGTCAGAAGCTCCAATGCATATTTGCGTTGAGAAAGAGTGATTCCAAGAGAAGATCTTGCCACTTCTAAGCCAAGGAAAAACTTTAAATCACCAAGATCCTTGATACTGAATTTGGCATGGAGAAAACTCTTGACAGCTTGGATTTCTTCCATAGAGTTCCCAGCCAGATCAACATCATCAACATATAAAAGTAAGCAAGTAATAGAATCACCCTGTTGCTTAAGAAGCAAAGTATGATCATGAGAACATTGATGAAATCCAATAGATTGCAGAGCAGCTACCAATGTTTGATACCATTGTCGACTGGCCTGTTTGAGGCCATAAAGAGACTTCTGAAGCTTGCAAACTGGATTAGGAACATCAGATTGAACCCCAGGAGGAAGCTTCATATAAATGTCCTCATCAAGGGAGCCATGGAGGAAGGCGTTATCAACATCAAGTTGATGAAGAAACCATCCTTGGGAAGCAGTAATGGCCAATAAAAGCCTAAGGGTATTCATCTTTGCAACTGGAGAGAAGGTCTCCAAATAATCCAGGCCTTCAATTTGGGTATATCCCTTAGCCACCAAGCGAGCTTTATAACGCTCAACAGAACCATCTTGTTTGTGTTTGATGCGAAAAACCCACTTGCAACCTATGGGCTTTTTGGATGAAGGAAGAGGCACAATCTGCCATGTGTGATTCTTGTTGAGAGCATCCAACTCCTTGATCATTGCCTCTTGCCACTGAGGATCCTTGCAAGCCTGAGAATAAGTCTTTGGTTCCACTAAATTGGATACATTAGCAACAAAGGCAAAATGTGTAGGAGACAATTTGTCATAAGACACAACAGAGGAGATAGGATGCCTTATACCTGATGAATGATCATTTGAGGAAGATTGGGCTGCCAGGCTAGGAGGCAATGTGACTTGAAAATCCTGCAAGTGTGATGGCAATCTCCTTGTACGAAGAGACTGCCTTGGAAGAGGATTTGTAGGCACAGGATCAACAGGTGGGAGAAACAAAGGAGCAGAATCAGGTAAAGTGTAATCAATGGCTTCAATATCATGAGAAGTAGGCAAAGGAATTGTGACATCAGGTGGTGTATGATCAAGGTTATGGGATAAGGCCTGAAAAGGAAATTGCTGCTCATAGAATATGACATTTCTTGAAAGTAAGACTTCTCTTGATTTCAAATCAAATAACAAAAAACCTTTAGTGCCATGTTTGTAACCAAGAAACACACATTTGCGAGCTCTAGGATCCAATTTTGTGCGAGCCCGAAGCAAGGTAGAAGCAAAACCAAGACACCCAAAGACTTTAAGAAAACCAAAGTCAGGAGGTTTAGAATAAAGCTTCTCAAAAGGAGTTTTATTGCCCAAAACAGAAGATGGAAGTCTATTGATAAGAAATGTGGCATGGGATACAGCATGTGACCAAAAAACTTTAGGCAAATGAGACTGGAATAACAAGGAACGAGTGACATTTAAAAGGTGTTGATGCTTCCTCTCAACAACAGAATTTTGTTGAGGGGTTTCTACACACACTCGTTGATGAATGATGCCATTAGAAGCATAAAATTGGGTAAGGAAAAACTCAGGACCATTATCAGATCTAATGACTCTAATGGAAACATCAAATTGAGTTTTAATCATAGCACAAAACTGTGGAATAAGATGCTGAACTTCAGACTTTTGTTTCATCAAAAATAACCATGTAAATCTGGTGTAATCATCAACAATAGTAAGAAAAAATCTATGACCGTGCATAGAAGCAACAGCAGAGGGACCCCAAATATCAATGTGAATCAAATCAAAGGCTTTATTAGATGTACTATTACTGTGAGAAAAGGACAATTTCCTTTGTTTGGCCAAATGGCAAACCTCACATACATGGTTTCTTGTACAATTGATAAAGGGAAAAGTATTACCTAAGATGGAAATACAATCAAAAGAAGGGTGGCCAAGCCTATGATGCCACAAACTAGAAGGGGAATTCAAGGAAGAACAAGTAGCTGAAACTGCAGGTACAGGTCTAACTGGCTTTAAACAGGATGCATTCATTGTGGGTGTAACCAGGTAATACAAGCCATCAACCTCTTTAGCTGCACCAATCATCCTCAAGGCATTCATATCCTGTATTAAGCACAATTTAGGAACAATAGTGAGCTTACAATTCAAAGTTTCAACAAGCTTTGTAACAGAGATAAGGTTGAAGCTAAATTGAGGCAAATATAATACATCTACCAAGTAAAAGGACTTAGTAAATGAAATGGTGCCAGAAAAATGAGCTACCAAGAAACTGCCATTGGGCAATTTAACCTTCACTGGCTTAATCCTCTTGTATGTAACAAAGAGTTCTAAGCTACCACAAATATGGTCAGTTGCACCTGTGTCAATAATCCATTGAATTAATCGAATTATACCATTGCGAGTTTGCATAGCCACGGAATTGGTTTGTGCAATGGTTGGAGTCCTTGAACTTGGAGCAAAATTGACCTTTGCTGTCCTTGCAGTAACCTTATCCTGAGAAGGCAACAAAGCAAGTAGAGTATTGTACTGATCTTCAGTCAAGCTGAACCGAGAGCTATCCTCATGTACAGAATTGGAATCATCTTCCTCTGCCTCTGTGGCGTTGGACATGTTAGCATGTCGAGAAGCGCCTTGAGAATTCCTGGACTTGTAACTCTGTGGATACCCATGCTTTTTGTAACACACATCCACAGTATGCCCAATTTTGCCACAATGTGAGCATTCCTTCCTGTATTGATTTCTGTAGCTATTGGAACCTTGAGAACCTTTATTAGAATTGGTTCCATTGCCATAGCTGCGATTAGATGAATTGCTATCACCTCTGTTATTCTTTTGTGAATCAGGAACACCTTGAGCAGTAGCAGCATTAGCCATAAGAACCTTAGGCACATTCTCAACACTGAATTGCCTCTCTTGCTGTGCTGCGAGTTGAAACACGCGATTGATGCTTGGCAAAGGCTCCATGAGCATGATTTGCGACCTCACACCGGAGAATTGTTCCCCTAAACCACGCAGAAATCGAATGACATGATCCGAATTTCTTTCTGCCTTGATTTTGACAAGTGCATCACAGACACAAGATGGCAATGGTTTCAAAACCTCTAATTCATCAATCAAAATCTTCATAGCTGTAAAGTACTTGGTTACCGTCATGTCTCCTTGCTTGAGACTGTAGATTTCTTCTTGTAATTCAGAAATGCGGAAGAGATCTGCCTGTGAGAACCTCTCCTTCAACTCCTTCCAAACGTCGATTGCTTTTTCTCGCCACAGGATCGATTGCGCAATCTCCGGATTCATTGAACGAATCATCCATCCAAGAACCATTGTGTTGCAGCGTTGCCAAAACGGATAGATCTCATGATCTTCTCCAGGATCACGAAGCGTTCCATCAACGAATCCGAGTTTGTTCTTGGTTAACAAACTCATTCGCATCGATCTTGACCAGCTGTGGTAATTTTTCTCAGAAAGTGGCGGAGAAACAAGAATCGTCGCCGGATTCTCGTTCGGATGCACATACAACGGACAAGAAGTGACTTGCACATCTTGCAAGGAATACAGATACGGCGGAGCCACCGGCGGAACGTTCGCAGCCATCGGAACTCCAGTGAACCACCGTGGAGATTATCAGAGTTTGCAGCAGAGCTCTCTCTAAGAGAGCTCTGATACCATATTGAGAGAGGAGAAAAACCAAGAGTTAACTGAATAGATTTGTATTGTATTCAAAACTGTAACTTTTACAATATGCTAATTACATTAAATAGCAACCACTTACTCCTAACTGTGTAACTAACTCATGTAACTAACTCTAACAATAATTCTGATTTCTAACTAACTGCTAACAATTAGCTAACAGATTTGTTATTCTGTGATAGTGATTGTTATTTATTTTTGAAATTTCTTTGGGTTGCTACGATGATATAAATATAATGTTTTAATTCACCTATAATAGCTTAGAGAAGAAAGTTAAGGTCTCTCAGCTGTGTGAGAGTATCTGATGGTCATTTATCAAGCATGCAATGGTTGTATTTGTAGTGAATGCAACTAAAACAAGCCTTAACAAGGATATGATGTTAATAGAAAACTCAATTTTTATTTTGAGATCATGCGCAGTGATGAATGAGGCAATCTCAGTAAAATTCACTTACACTTCTAACAAGTAAAGAGATATTTATTATTGCAGGTGGTTGAAATTGGCAAAGGGAGTAAGGTTAAGTATGAACTGGACAAGAAAAGTGGACTTATAAAGGTGTCATTCTCATTCTTCCATCTTATAGCCTTTCATTTGTTAAACTCATCATCTTCCAACAATATTCTTGGTTTAATGGCAAAATGTAAAGGCACTAGGAGTTTGTTTTAAAAGGGAATTGCATTGTCATTTAGCATTTCTACAATTTTGTCACTGTGCTATTGTCATCTTTTACATTTAATTGTCTTCAAACTCTATCAGTTTCAAAATTAATTTTCCATAATTGTGAGGGCTCATTTGCTTTTGCTTGCACTGTATATTACATGTCTAAGTCTTTAGGAGTAAGATTGCTGATAATGTTTATGTTTGGATTTATAGTATAGATAGGTAGAACATGAAAAGGTAATTCAAATTCTTTGAATGCATTGTGTTTTCAGAATATATGTATTATTGAATTAAGTAGCATTGACACTTCACATTAACGCTTGTTTGGTGTCTGACACAACACCAACACATGTAGTTACATTCAATCACTCTCGTTTTCGTAAAGCATTATCGGTGCATGCGTATGACTGTCTTGTCTGTTCATGTGTTCTGCTTCATGTAGATAATGGTTTGGTTTCTAGCTGTAAAATTTGTGTCTGTTTGTTCTGAAGCGTAACTAACAAATGATGGGATTACATAGGTTGATCGCATTCTTTACTCATCAGTTGTCTACCCACATAACTATGGTTTTATTCCAAGAACCCTCTGTGAAGATGAAGATCCCTTGGATGTCCTGGTTCTGATGCAGGTAACAATTCTAAAAGAACTTATTCAAGGTATTTTACAGAAATAGCTGTTTACTGTGAAATTACAACTGTATTTAAATTGAAACTTTGATTTTGAATAGGAGCCTGTGATACCTGGTTGTTTCCTTCGTGCCCGTGCTATTGGGTTGATGCCCATGATTGACCAGGTAAAATTTGTTTCATACTTCATGCACTTGCACACATTTGTGTGTATGGTTTTGTTTGGGAGAATGAAAAAAATATTGTATTAAGGGATCCTTTTAAAAATGAATATTTGATTACTCAAACCATTTTACGTGCTTGCGGATTTGGTTGCATATATGCTATTGAATTATACATCAACTCTAACTGGTTTCCTATGAACTAAAATGATGATTACCATGCCTTAGCTTGTATTTAATATGCAATCGTGAAATTTATCACCATTAACATTTTAATCCCTTGTGCAATTTTAACTTGGTAGTAATATAATTGGAATGAGAGTATATTTCAAAGGACCTATGAGAAAAAGGAAAATGGTGCAAGGAAAATTGTTCACTGCATTTATCCACTTAGTCATAGTGACTCTAATATCATATCATAAATCAAATACTATCCTAGAAGCTTACTAGGCTGTTAGATGAAAATAAATGAATTGGGTTTTTTCTGTGCTCTTAACAGTGTGCTAGAGAGATAAGTGAATGAAATGAAATGCTTTAACTTTTCCTCCCATTGAATTCTGACACAGGGAGAGAAGGATGACAAGATCATAGCAGTTTGTGCTGATGACCCCGAGTTCCGCCACTACCAGGACATCAAGGAGCTTCCTCCACATAGGCTTGCTGAAATCAGAAGATTCTTTGAGGACTGTATCCTGTTATTTGCATCTTAATATGTAGAGCTGATAATTTTTTACAATACTTTCATAGATGATTCGTTTCACCGTGACCCTTTAAATGCTTATGCCATTGAAATATTAATCTTGCATTTTTCTGCTAGTGAAAAAAGCATCCCACGTAGATGTTGTGTATCCTTAACTTTCCACACTAGACAAGAAGAATGAGAACAAAATAGTCAATGTTGAAGACTTTCTACCAGCTGAATCTGCTGTTCAGGCTATCGAACACTCCATGTAAGCTAACTGTCCTTTACAATCCTGTAGTATACTTCCTCTAAAGCAAATTGTGTGACTGTTTTTACTTTTTCTATTGGAGATCAAATGATTCATTTAGATTTCATGCATGAGTTTTTATTTTCCTTCTTTTTTTGCAGGGACCTGTATGCTGCTTATGTAGTTGGAAACTTAAGGAAGTGACTTCTTTGGAAACTGATTAGCAAGCAAATTGCAAAGACATATTAAAATATATTTGTAAATTGTCTATGAAGATCATTTACTTTGATCTGTTTTTCATGCTATTGCACTACAATTCAAATAATAAGCACTTTCCCTTCTTTTAAAATTTTCCCCTCCTCAGGAGGGTTGGATTTGATTGCAGTACATTATTTTTCTTTCATTAAAGTGTTGAAGAAAACATAATTCAGACCATTTAGAGTCCAAACTCTAAAAGGTTTAAGTGGTTAGTCCAACAACAAAATGAATTTGTAGTCATTTCGGTTTTCCCAACATTGTATTTCACTTGGATGTTTTTTTGCCTCTATTTTAGTCTATCCTGATTGAAATTTGTATTTTCTCAATATGAAATGGCATTTTTCTTTCTTGTGTCATCTTGTCCCGCACATCATTTGCACTTCTTTGTGGTTATCCGAAATCTCTCTTAAAAGATCTTGTGTTGGAAAATAAAAATATTTTTTCACCCGTCAAATACCACGATTTTTTTTTAAATAACCACTTTTTAAAAAAAAAAATCTCAAATAACCATATTTTCAAAAAATTTACCAAAATGACCACTTTTCAAACAAAAAAATTTTGCCACACAGAGGAGTAGCCACTCTGTGTGGCGCATGCACTCAATTTAAAGAGGAGGCGTCACACTGCATGGCTTGTCCTCCTCTGTAAAGCCATGCAGTGTGGCACATACATGTGTTTTTGAGAGGAGGCGCCACTCTCCATAGTTTGACAGTGTAATTGCAAATTTTTTTTAAATAAAAAAAAATAAAAATATTTTATATTAATATTTAATATTATACAACGCATGAATACATTTTTTATGGACGTCCCCTTAACCTAAGCGGGCCCCCGTATGACATAAACGACTGCGCCTTTGTCTCGCCCGTTGTTTCACTCCTCTCTGTTGATTTTCCTGAGGTGTTTGTGGTCTGTTCTGACTTGCTTGATTATGAGGTGCTTGATGTGATGGTCCTGGTATATCAGGATCATACATCTCATTGATCATTTCGCTCCACTGAGTTGTGCTTCCAAAGAGATCGGTGCTCATATTGTTGAAGTTTGGTCTTGTTGGTTGGGATATGTGTGGGTGGTGGGGTGGTTGATAGTATTAGGATGTTGAATCTTGATGAAAACGAAGCAACGATTCTTGTGGTGTCTGAAATCCGTATGATGGTTGGGTACTTCGATGGTATGATGTTTGACTGTATGGAAGTTGAGTGGTATGATAGGAAGAAGATGTATCATATGTGTCTTGGGTGTTGTGGTAGGATGGGGATGGTGTATATTGTTGGTGGTGGGTCGAGTCATGTTCTTGGTATTGTGTTTGTGTGTGTGGCATGAATTGATGACGAGTTTGGTTGACTGAGGTGGTGTATGGTTATTGGGTTTGAGTGGGTTGACATTGTGGTTGGGTTTGGTATTGTTGAGGGGTTAGTTGTTGGGTCTGGTATTGTTGAGGGGTTAGTTGTTGGGGTTGTTGTTGGGCGTATGTTGCAGCTCTTTGGCGTGGGTCAATCAAATAAGTCTCTTGAGACAGAAATAAATTTGTTGAAACCGATGTGCACCATCTCAAATATTAGAGTGTCGGTTTTAAGTCATCTTGCAAGATCGGCTCCCTTAGGACCAATTCACGTCTATGCCTCCATTGACGACATTGATTTATAGCGAAGTCTCTCAAATCGTTAAATCCCCACTGGTCGTCAACTCGGAGTAGATGCCATTGGCCCAAACATGTTGGGGGGTCGGGGATACCCTGTTGCATGCCGAACTGTAGCTTCACACGATCACTGTGGTGCATCTCCACAGTAGTGAACCTGATGAGTGCTGTTTTTGCAGTCCAGACTTCAGCATCAGGAGGGTTAATCTCATGGTCGAGATCCTTATACGGCATCCATACAAACTGTAGAGTAAAAAAAGTTATATAAAATATTAAACTTCATAAAAATATTCAATGCGTTGTATAAAATATATAAGTTTAATACCTCTTCGGGTCCAACATGATCAATAAGATTTCAGTAGACTACTATTGCGTTTCTAGGGGATTTATTGTAATTCATCCCAGGAACAGACCACCTACATAGAAAAAATGGGTAATAAATTAATACACTACATGTCTCGGTATATAATATGTAAAATTTATGGTTTTGTAATCTTACTTTGTAGCAAAGGGGAAGACGAATGACCTCGTGTTGCAGGGGACGAGTGTCGGCATTCTCGACCAGCACCATGTCTGGAGCAAAAAGGCGCAAGAATAGAAAGAACAACTACAGTTCGATGCATTTTTACACAATGAGCTATACAGATGGGCCAAAACAGCTGAACCCCAACTATATGTGTTTATTTTATCAAATTGTCTTAACAAGGGTAAATACATGATATTAACAGTATTACCCGTTGTTTCAGGAAATAAAAAATGGCCAAATAATATCATTATGTAACACCGAGTTTTCACAATTTTTTCTTGCTCGGTAGAGTTTTCGGTTATTACGAGACTACTATGATATTCTCTAAGAAGACGGAGATTAATACCTTGGCCTCTTAATCCTTGTTCAAATAAAGAGACTCTCAAAAGTTCCTCGCATATGGCATTGTCTTGGTTGACTCAGCCATTGACAGTATTACCGTCGATCGGTAGACCGAATAACATGTACATGTCCTCTAGTGTAATTGTACATTCACCACATGGAAGATGAAATGTGTGAGTTTCGGGTCTCCATCTCTCCACTAATGCGAGAATAATTTTATAGTCAACATGGTAATTGACTATGTTGAGTAACGGACCAAAACTGGCATGTCGTAAGTACGGTTCAATTTGAACGTCGCAAGGGACATACTCATGGACACGACAACAAAATCTTTTAACATCCTATTAAAAACATGAATTACGTATAAGCAGTACAAGATTTAGGTATAACAATCATAAGAATTAAGGAACAAAAAATTGTCGACAAAAAACATGTATTGAGGAAAATACACTTACAAAGGTTTCAATGTTGTTCGGAGTTCCTCTATGTTGATCACCCATGGTCAAGAGAGACATTTTTCCTTGATTACTCTTGTGTTGTTGTTGAGACTTCAAGAAAGAAATAGTGTATGAGTTATGATTGTGATTAAAATATAGGGTGAACGTTACATGTATTTATAGGAAAATCTTGAAGAACACTTTGCATGCAACTTATACACATACGCGCCACACTAGGTGGCACATACTCTTCTTTATTACACATAGGCGCCACACTAGGTGGTGCATGCTCTCTTTATTGTACATAGGCACCATTCAACATGGCTTCTTGCTTTTTGCATGCATGCAAACCTGCAGCGTGGCAGGGATCAGATGGCATGCGTGCAAGTTTTGTTGTTCAATGACAAGCCACCCTAGGTGGCGCATGCGTGCAAGAAAAGAAGGATAAGCCAACCTAGGCGGCGCATGCATACATAAAGAGGAGGATAAGCCACCTAGGGTGGCGCATGCATGAGAAAATAAGAGGATTAGCCACTTAGGGTGGCGCATGCATGCAGAATATCAGTCTATTTACTCGTCTGTGTAGGTTGCATTACTAGTATACATTCATAACTCACAAAAAACATACCTCAACAACATGGATCATTCACAAAATTATACTATTGTTGCCCATATTAACGGTGAGACGTTCAAATGCGATAACTTAGGTTTTAATTTCCGTAATACCGATTTTATCCGCTTTCGGATAAATAAGAAATCCAGTTTTGCACGCTTCAAAGATAGAGTAGAATCCAAATTGCAGTGTGGTCCAGTTTACCAAATTATTTACAAGTCCCCATTTCTATTTGACAACAACCAAGTCAAATTTTATCAACTTAAGGTGCGCGACAATGATGATGTTCGAAACATGTTTCAGACTCATGAATAATCCGGGTTCGATGAGATTGAGCTGTATGTTTTATTACAGCAACCAGATCAATCTCAGGTGGTAGATCCTTCTCAATACTTTGAAGAAGAGGATGAATCTGACGAGGACAACCATCCTGAAGTCGATGTTATTGATCAAGAAGAAGAAGATGATGAGGCAATGATTGGTTTTATGGTCAATGATGACGCTGCAGATCAAGAGCTTGAACCTATACCTGCAAGTCATGCGTACAACCCTCTGTTTCACATGACGAACTTGAACTTGGGGGAAGATGAACCAGCCTTAGATATCTTTCACGATCCTTATATGCAGACCGAAGGGGCCTTGAAAGTTGGAGACAAATTTCGAACAAAAGAAGAGTGTCTTAGAGCTATAAAAAAATACCACATGGAAATTTTAGTTGACTTCACTGTAGATAAAAATAATTCAGGGAGGTACGCTATTTTATGTCGTCAAAAACCAATTTTCCATTTTCGGTTAACTGCATCTTACAGGAAGAGAAGTTATGTCGTCAAAAACCACCGTTCTGACACAGGATCATCGAAAACTTAGTTCTCAACTAATATGTCAAGAAATCTTGCCTCTTATTAGCAAAGTTCCATCATTAAAGGTGAGTACAATTATTTCTCATATCACTACGAGGTTCAATTATACTCTCTCTTACAGGAAGGCATAGATCGGGAGGACTAAGGCAGTTGAACTTGTGTACGGTAATTGGGAGGAATCGTACAAAGAACTTCCAAGATTTTTGGTGGCACTTAAATATTATGCTCCGGGAAGTGTTATAATTTTGGAGACACTTCCGGCTTTTACCCCAGACAGAACTCGTGTTAGTGGGAATGGAATATTTCATCAATTGTTTTGGGCGTTTGAACCATGCATCAAGGGTTTTGCATTTTGCAAACCTATTATACAGATTGATGGAACTTGGTTATACAGGAAGTATAAAGGAACACTACTCATGGAAGTGGCACAAGATGGGAACATTAATGTTTTTCCGATTGCCTTCGCTCTAGTTGAAGGTGAGACAGGTGGTGTATCTAATTTCTTTCTGAATAATCTCCGATTACACGTTGC